TTAATATAAAGTTATTGATTTTGACATTGTTAGTTTCTTTGTTGTGTTAAACCAATGATTACGCTGTACTATGTTAGCAGCTAATAATTTAATTTTAGGTTGTTATCAGTGTAAAAAAACCTTCAAAATTGTTAATGCAATATGCAAGTGATTAAGAATTTGTTTTTTAAACTATTACAACCACTGCATGTATGAACATTTTTATACCCCTTTTTAACACTTTTATGAGGAAGATTTTAAAGTACTCTGTAAAATAGCTTTGGGGAAATCTGTTTGTTTTTGCGGACGTTGTTGAAGCCTAAAATTAATTCTGAATTGGGTTTTGCGAGGAAAGAGCATTACATCACCTATATAAGTTTTACTTAAAGTACAATCGGAATATTGCTGAATACATTATCAAGCCTGAAACATCGATTTAATTGGCTTATGCAAGGAAATTATCCATCACACTCTCGCTTTGGATTAGCTTTACTCAAAATAGTATCCGCTGGTTAACGTCATGTAAGTCAAGAACATTGTTTTGCCTAGCTATCAAACTTATCGCATAACAATGCTAGATAATGTTAAACTACCAATCGGTTAGCATCTTTTGTTTCACAAATGGTTTATATTTCACTGTTATACTAGGTACTGTAAGCTATAACTCCGCTAATCCTCATTTCCATAGTCAGCTCACGGTAATCGCGTTGTAGGGAGGTATAACGGTTTCAGTGCACTCGTATCAGAACATTCCAATTAAATGTGCGACACATCCCCAGTTTTATCCAACTCGGGTGGTTGTCTTTGATGTCTCGTTAAGACCCAAATTGAGGCTCAGCTGATCAACCCTTTAATTATGCCGTGTTTGACACAATGTCTGGCTAAGACTTTACAGATAACACTGCTTTGCGCTCCCCTTGAAATTCTTTCATGTTACAAAACAGTCTGGCTTAGTGTTAATTTTATATTTTTGTTACATTAAGTTTGCACCATGAGAACAGAATACTCTTACTCGTATGTAAATTCGGTAGTATTGTACCGAAATTAGACTAGCGTCTCAGTTTCCTGGTCAGGAACCGATGAGAATCTCTTCTGCGAAAGGAAAACGTGACGCTATACCGAAATTAGTACTGATTGACTGCCATAATTCAGTAGACATAGTCCCTTTCAAGATTTTTCGCCATTGAGGATCACCTGAAAACCTTTAAGATGTGATTATACCCGGTTGATGTACAGGGTGTTTCGACATTTACTATTTTGTTTCCAATTCGTATTACCATTTAAATTATAACACTCGAGTACTAGTAAACTGCCTTGACATCTGGATTCACAGCCAAAAAGGAAAGTGTTTTTTTTTTTTTTTTGTGTTTGACACCGTTGGAACCTTCTTAGAGGAACGGTTTAGACTCTCGTCTTGTCAATATATGACAAACATTTTTGGACAGAAACATTATTATATCCGAACAAACATTATTTATATTTTTTTCTAACAAATCGCACCTAAGGTCGAGAATTGTCTTCGCTTAGAATCGTACCAGCAACCTCCAAAATTGAAAAAAACAATACCACACATAGTTCACAGATATGTATTGCAACCATTCGGATACCCGAAAACAATGCGACAATTATGAAATTGTTATATAGTAGAAACTCGATAATAAGTCCATCATGGGGATGACCAAATAAGACTTGTTATCAAGGTTGACTCACTTGTTGAGGTTTGCAATAACTTGTAATCAAGGGTATTTAAAATGGCACTTTTGTTATCAAATGCCACTTTTTCGAGGGTCTTCTCATTGAGGTTGCACTGACATTCGATAATAGTAATTTATAAACTCAAATTATAAATTTAGTTTCCTCGCTCTAGTTATCAATCCCAAAGTTCCGGTCCAACCCCCGAATTACAGTTAAAGGGAATACAAAGCTACACCTCAGAATTGACGTTATTTCTCGTCTGCTGCGAGGAGGGTTTTTAATGAACTTCTACCTAGTCTGTGTCAAAGGCGACACAGTACACGTCCGTTTGTTCTCTGCTCACGACAGACAAACTTCATGATTGCGTTGTGGTCTTGTTCGATCCCTCTACGGAATCTACTTTTACTTTCCGTTTCTGTTTATACGTAGGTACGGGAAACGTCTTTGTGAATAGAACATTGTGTATTTGTTTGATGGTAACCCAATGTGATACCTGTTAAGATTTCCCTGTTGCAGCGGTTAGTTTGTAGTAGATATTTGTTGCATTGTTGGTTTTTATTGCTTGGAATGTTTTGAGTTTTTCCCTCAGTGTACGCAATAGTATTTGATTTAAATTATCAAAACTTACATTATTTTTTATACCAAACTTGCATTTTTGTGAAGTGTGCTTTGAATTACGGTTTTTTTTATTTTGGGCCATCTAATCATTATAGTTGGACCGGGATGATATTTTAAGATGGCAGTGGACATTGTCATCGTCATATAATAAGGTAAAGTTTGTATTCAAGACGAGAAGTGATAAATTCCAGTAGGATCCTTGAGGACGGTTTCAAAACCTTTTGACACATATAAACTTGGAGCCCTAGGAGGTTACACTGAATTAGATAGCAAATACATCTATAATATTCCACCTGAGGTTCGTACCGCCAACATTTATTTTATCTTGTAAATCTCTCAATGTATTTTTGAACCTGTCCCATCATATTTCTCCTGTCTCCCCTATACATAACAATAAGGCTACAGGTCGCTATGAAGTCTCGACATCGTGGTATGTTTGTCATGTAGGGTCGAGTAAGAAAAATTGGCATCGTAAACTCTCCCCTACGTACAAATCACAGCCTCCCCCCCGCACCCTTCCACCCCCTAACTACTCAAGGTCGTCCGTTATCTCTCGTCACCTCCCCTCTGGCTGATAACACGTTTCTTCCCTGGTCTTTTAAGGTTATTTATCGCCTCACGTGACCAAAGATTTACACCTGATTTCCCTATTGTCCGCCTTATCGTGTATGCGTGTGATAAAGATAAATGTTCCAGTTGGTTTATTTGAGGTTAATCTTAGATATAAGTTGTACGTATGGTTTTGTTTAGATGGTTGAAATGTATGATTGGTTTGGTAGTACAGTAAAAGTAGTTTTAGAAAATTTGAGGTATTGAGACAATTTGGTTAACGCTAACCGTGAGTAAGATTTTCGCTGTCAAAAATGTTGCACCGACGTTCTTTTGTGTTTATTTCGTCATTTAATTACTCTTTATGATTTTACTATACATATAAAAAATGTATTGTGTTACAAAAGGAACCAAGTGTTATTGGGTTTTTGATTGATACTTTCACAACTAACTGTTAAATTAAACACAACAAAATCTTGCAAAATCTGTAAAAACACCGTAGACAAACCCAAAGATATATATGAAAGTTAAGAAACACGATACCATACCATCCAATTTGTATTATACCTAAAAATTAGTTTACTTATCAGTCATTGAAGATGTTCTCAGAAATTAAATGAAAAAAATTATTAATAGGGTTAGGTGTAATCAATTAGTGTAATTTTACTCAATGATGGTTGAAATGAAACCAACAGTAGGTTTGAAACGAATACAGTCGAACTTTGAACATTACAAAAGTGAAAACCCTTGCCAAATGAATATTTTAGTTGTATCATAAAATGGTTTGATGCTTGTATTTCAAACATTATCGTTTTGGTATAACTAGTTAAAAGTTAATAGTAAACATAGAAGCCCCTTCTGTTTACAGTATCGTATATGGCGTCTTTAAATAACACTCCCAAGTTCGCTACCTCTACAATATGCATATTACTAATAAGCCGCACATAAACTAACCCCACAAAATATACTGCAAACCCAAACTTAACTTGTTTAAAAAGCACATTAACACTGTTAAACTTTATTGTATTCTCGTTAATTAAAAAATAATTAACTTTGTTGAACTCATGTGCGAAATGTAAATCACACTCCTTAGAGCGTAGCATTTACCTTTATCCTACTAATTTTCCACAAAACACTGACCTAAACCCACAAAAAAATCCTAAAAATAACACATAATACCTTAAAAAATCCATGAAACCCCAACATGCACTTTTGTAAAAATCACGTAACCACAATGAAACGTTAATTGTTTCCGTTAGTTACAAAATCACTTGACATTGTTGACCTTTGCGCACGCACGTTGTAACTCGTGCTCGATAACTGCCTGACTGTAAAAACAATACCGATATAAACGTTTATTGCAGGGGTAGGTTAATTGCCGGCTGGTATTTCGGAAACGGTAGTTAATGATATGAAAATGTTATAGACGTAGTGGCGCCGGCTACGTTGTGTTGTTAACCGCACGGCAACGTAAACACGCATCGGGCACGGGCTGTAGGAATGTACGGGTGGGTTTACAATTGTAAGCTTATAGATTTGAAGTTAATTTATTCTGACGTAAACCAAGGGAGTGTGCCAGGGTACAAAGTATACTGTGTAATCTTGGTGTTCCGGAGATGGCGTTGAGTTGGCGAAAATACTTGCCTAAGTTGGATGCCTTGTAGCAATCCACCTTTGAGGCTATTTGAAGTTAACTCAATTATTTTATCGTTATTCTGATGTACTTAAATTTAGGTGAAACCATCGATTACTTAATCCCTTGTAAAGAATGTAGTTTAAATTTTATATCTAGATGTTAGCTTCTACGGCCAAATTAAAATACTGTCTACAAAATCTCGGGTTTTAGGATATAGCCGCGTTTTCCAGTGATAAAATACGCCAATGGTGTTCACTACTAAGCCACATACCAAAGATACTAGAGTTTAATTCATATCGAATACATCGATACTGACTAATCGTAGTGCTTTAAAACAATGCTCATCGTACAGCATTGGATGCTTATTGTTTTATACACTTTTTGGATCTTCCTCCCGTTCCCTTACAAAACCCTAACATAAGATTTCCCTCCACTACAGATGGGACTCAAAGAAGTAGCCCATATTGAGTAATTTTGTATTGCTGATTAGATGTGTCTAACAGTTTATTTTCTCCTGTTCCAGACCATGTACGCGAGTTTACGTGTGGCAAGATGTACTACCGCACACTCTATCTGGATGAGAAGAGAGATGCTCTCTACGTCGGCGCCATGTGAGTATACACAAGACTGTGTTTGAATACCATTTTTAGTAGTATGTTATTTGAGAGAATATTTTGGCTAAAACCAGTCTTTACTACGCTTCGGGATCTGGAATATAATCCGGATGGAAAAGTAATCAAAACATATCAAGATTAGTATACAAGCCCAGTCAAAACTGGAAAGAACTGGTTAGATTCTGCTTCTGTTAAATAGGTACTGACTTCTTTCGAATCCGTTAACCTGTTAATCAACCCGATCGAAAGGCAACATATTGCAAATTACTGTATACAATTCTTTATGTCAATCAGATAACTTTTCATATCTCATTCTGTAAAGATACATTCAACTATGTTCTATTTCTATTACAAATTGCCTACGGTCCATGTAAATTATTTCTCTACTTGAACATCACAAATTTATTGGTTCTAGCCTACTAAGATAAATGATTGCTCTTATCGTTACTTTCATAGTAATTTGCTCAATACATTTTGACGATGTTAGCACCACTACACTCTCGTATGATTCCATTGAACCGTATTCAAAGTAGCGAGCCAAGTCCAAGTAGCCAGGGGAAGGGTGGACGTATGCACAAGGGCGGAGTAAGGGTGCCTATCAGATGGAGGCTACCAGAAACACAGTAACGGCCGCGAAGGGATTGCGAGGTCTGAGTTATGGCTGTTCTAATGGTCCATAGTCCTAATGGCGAGGGGAGATCTCAAGTGAGGATGAGACTTTCTAACCCCCCCCCCTCCCTCTCTGCCATTACAGGGGGGTGGTGTACCGGTACTTAGAGTTTGACTCCGGGAGCCGCAAATATTTACTAATTGAATCCGGGGTTAAGGGATCTAACTTGGATAATACAGTAGTTATTGCCTATGGCTATTGCTAGTAGGATTTTGGGTATGTATATTGAAAAGCCTTCGGGGTTATGGAATATTAGGGGCTTCGTGAGATTTTAGTTTAATGATTTATTTTGAACACTGAAAGTTAAATTTTTGGCGTTTTGCATGATTTGAAGCCTATTTTACTATGTTTTATCATTGTCTGTAACGAACGAAATACGGTCGATGGTTACGAAAGATGGTCTATTGTCTGTGGCTCCATCAAGCCTAGAAGGTGTTTTACCCAAATTTGACTCTAGCATATACTTATTTAATGGTGCAAGGCAATTTCGTGTCGTGAGATCATAGTTTACATGGTCTTTGGTACTGCATGTGAATTTGTATAGTGTACAAATTTAAGCCTATCATTTTGATATGGCTAATCGGTAGGCAATAGGAGACGTTGATGGGACGTGCATGTTTTTCTCTTAATCTTGGGTAGATTTATTTGGTACAGTAGTTTAATTTGGTTTTTTCGTCTTTATAAGAGAATGTGGTTCTTAGCCAGGACCATTTTCGCACAACGATCAAGGACAACTGGTGCCAGTTTCGAACCCAACGTTTAACTTTTCTCGGGATCGAACGGACTATCTTTAGTTTGTAGGCGAGTACTTTAACCACTCAGATACTCAGTTATTGTATTAATTATATAAATAATCCACAAAGAAAAAATAATTAAAATAATTATTTTCTTTCAAAATTTTGTGTTTCTGACTTTAACTACTGGCTCTTATAATGTCCTCTGTTTTAGGGATTCCCGACTTTGTCTGGGTTTCTGTTCCACTTGCTATTGTTTTAGCTACTTCTACACGTGGCAAATTAGTTTTTTTCCTTTATTTCCTTTAGTACCTAATGGAAAATGTGCGCAATGATTCCTTTAACGTTTTACAAGGTTAGCAAAATTGACAGTAGTATAAAATTCATCCATCAACAAAAGACCAACCCAGATTGAAACACAATGGCGAATGTTGCCGTGTTCGTGATGGGTGTTTTATGTTCGGTAAGTGGCAGTATCGTAGTATCGCTGCCATTTGAAGCACCCTGTATCGACCAAGCTGTGCCGTGGATGACTCATGGCCCGGTAGTCAGGCGATGCTGTCATTACTTAATAATTCCCGGGGGTAAACACCCCCCGGGGGATATAGAGAGGGGGGGTAAATAGCGTGATGGATGCGATCACGGCCAGGTAAATACCCCCCTCCCCCCCTCCCCCCGCTGCGGTGGTTCCATTAGTTTTTACTACGAGTGGATCGTCGTTAAGACGATTGTCGGTATCCGCTTTGGATTTAAAAGCCCCTGTTTTGCATCATAAAAGCTGCACTGTTCTGTGCTGTTTGAATGGGGAATTTAGCTGGTTTCGAAGTGAAAATGTGTAGGGGCATAGAATATAGATGATACTATTATTTGTGTTGATGGGTAGCTTGGTAGTAATAGTGTTTGTCTGGTAGTCAGGAGACAGCCAGTTCGATCCATTGCCTGTGGTAAAAGAACCAGCTGAATCTAAGTCACTAAAAAAGTTACCAAAGTATTAATTCAACACTCATCCTTCACTAATCTTTGCCTTAAACCCCTGTTGGGTTGGCAAATAAATTAATCTATAATCGAATATATAATTTTTGAGAATTTAAACTGTAGTATGCTAGGCCTATCCATTGTTTGTCTAGAGGTCAGTTCCATTAAAAAAGTTGTTTTTCCTATATTCGGTAACTAAAATAAATGTCCTTAGGGAAATCGGAATTGGGTTTGGTTTATGAATTAATGTTGTTTTAACGTAAAAGTTCCGTACTGTTGCTGGCTTAACCGGCTAGACTCACTTAAAACCATGTCAAAATGTAGGACATTAGGAAATGATAGCCCTATCCAGAGTTTATATGGGAGTGTTTACTTCTAAGTCTAGGGCAAAATTGCTGACATGAATATTTTATTTTAGATTATTAAAAAAAATTGACAGAAATCGAATTAAACTACTAGTCCAGGCGCTAAACGGGTTGAGTATGCACTGAAAGTCTGACAAAATTTGACTTTTGATTATTGTTGGGGACATGTAGTAGATGAAAAAAATCGATGATGTCGCATTTCTAGGGTGGTCACAACTCGGGGGGGAGGGGGGGAAGTTGCGCGGGTCATCGGTTTACGTTTCCGCGTCTTACTCACAAACGGTTTATGATAGAAAGGTGGTTTAAGCGTCTATCAACGCCTTAATATATTGTCTTTCAAAAAGGTATTACAACCTTTCTTCTATCTCTTATACTTTAGGCGCTAATCAACATTTATTGAAAAAATAAAATTTAAAAATACTTTTAAATGAAATATCGGAAATATTGCGCTTTTTTAGGGCATGTTACAAACAATTTATGGTTAGAAAAACTAACAAGTAGTACAACAACACCAAGTTTACAGAAATCTGTGCAAAAACAACAGAGCTACGTTGATTTCAGTAAGAGTAAACGTGGAAAATTCGTAGTAGTACCGAGGCGCGCATGGACGGTACGTAGCCCACAGTCAATATAGGTTTGATGTTGTAAGTAACTATGGGAAAGCAGAATTTTTCTTTGCTGTTAGACCATGTTGATATGGGTATTTTCCAAAAAATCCCCACTCCTACCCCTTTGTGCTTTCCTCTACCCCCCCCCTTTTAGATAAATTTACAGTCTCTAAGAAATTAAGCTATAACTTTAAAACGGGTAAGGATAATTATGCAATCTTTTATTAATCATTTTGCGTTACGATAATCTACAAAAAGAATTATTAGATAATTAAATATTTAAAAAGAATTATTACAGATTTTTGAAGAAGAAGGAGAAGAAAATGTGTTCATTATAATAAAATATCAATACAGTGTTTTTTATTTAAATGCAAAGAACAATGGTCAAAGACCGTCTGTTTTGTGTTAGACACGCTGATTTTGAAATATTTCAAAACAGTTTAAAAAATTCCATGAATCACATACAATTATTCATAAAATAAACTGATTTCAACTACAGAATATACACAAATAGCACTACATACTAATAAAGATCAGATAACAATTGAATGAATAATGAAAATTTAAATGTAGCCTACTGAGAATCTGAATTTTTCCAACAACAAACAGTTAATAATTCATAAAACAAACCTGTTACTTTTATAATTTACTTTGATAGATACTTAACAAACAATATTTTATAATTTTTTTTAATTACATAGATTTTTCCCATTTTTGTATTGATGTCTCAATTCTTAAATTTAATAATTATACTCCATTATCAATTCCCACTCTTTACTCCACGCCTCTTTAAGATAATTTCCAAGTGCCCGCCAATCTTTGCCATTTAAACATTCAAAAAAACTCATATTCATTTAAATATAACTTGTAAGACCAAAATTAACGTATCTTTTTTTTAAATTGGACATTCTGCTATAAAAGGGTACACGTTTCATCCCGGTTGAGATTAAATAGGGAACATACATACATTGTATTTTCCATATAGAGTTAACTTTTTATTAGACAACCCCCTTTATTTGTAAAAAATGTTTTTAGGGATGGTTACGAATAAAAAAATATATCCACCATTTTCCAATATGGCCAACAACTTTGTTATTTCTTATGGAATACGCTGTATTTTAGTATTCTTTTAGAATTTAAACGCTATTTTTTTACATTTTTTGACATTTTTTCTCTAAACCTACCCCATTTAGGAGTTACAGCGTGTTATATCTAAACGAAAGGCTTGTGGTGTACATTCGGCATCCTGTAGCTCATAAACGAGTAAGTTGAGATAGAAAGTGCAAAGAATAAATAAGTTACATATAAGTCCTCGTTCAAAAAATATATAAAATACGTTAAAAAATACTGATTTTGTTGTATTAAAAATGACCACCATTTTCAAAAATGGTAGCTTACTTTTATATTAGAAAAATTTATTATATGGTTTTTTTTATGTAGATGTTATTTGAAAACTTGTTTATTCTTTGTATTTTCGCTCTTAAACTTACTCGTTTATGAGCTACAGGATGCAGGATGTGCTCACAAACCATTTCTTCTTCGATGTAACTCCTAAACAAGTAGCTTTAGAGAAAAATTTCAAGAATAAAAAAGGTTTTAAAATTGTGCGTTTACATTCTAAAACAATCATAAAATTCAGGGTATTCCATAAGACTAACAAAGTTGTCAGCCATATTGGAAAATGGCAAACATATTTTTAAAATTCGAAACCACTAAAAACATCTTAAAATAAAGGGTAGTGTCCCATTAGAAGTTAACTCTATATCTCATAATAAAAAAGTTATCTATTGGTTCACTTTAGGTGAGACACCCTGTACATAATAAAATGAGGCTCTTGCGTACAGCAGCAATTGCACGATATTCATTCATATGTATCCACTACAGTCTGTATATGTACTGAATGAGCTAAATAACGTTAATATAATCTATATAAAACGGCAAATTCAAATACAAAAACCATAATATACGTAATTTTGTCATTGTTGCGGTGCACAAAAAAGCCAGAGTCCTGTAAAATAAATATACTGTACTATCTATAACCACTATATGCAAACTAACTGTTAATAACTATGAATCATTTAAAAATGTAAACTATGCACCCCAAATTTTGTATCAAACATTTTGTTGTGCGACCTCGTATAAAAAAAACTAAAAAGAAAAGTAACATAAATTAATCCGTAAAAATTATTTTTTTATGTTTATGATATTTTTTAACTATGAGTATTTAGGATACCATGGTAAATACACTTTTTACCAATAAAAATGATTAATAAAAGATTCTGTTATTATCCTTACCCGTTTTAAAGTTTTAGCTTAATTTCTAAGAGACTGTAAATTTATCTAAAAGGGGGGGGGCAGAGGAAAGCACAAAGGGGTAGGAGTGGGGACTTTTGGGAAAATACTCATCTCAACATGGTCTAACAGCAAAGAAAAATTCTGCTTTCCCATAGTTACTTACAACATCAAACCTATATTGACTGTGGGCTACGTACCGTCCATGCGCGCCTCGGTACTACCACAGAAAACATACTACTATAACCCAGAATGCCAACCGCATGGTAAAAACCATTAAGTGTTTTGAGAGAGCTTTGCCTGTCAATCCGTAGGCAGCGCCACCAGCGTTGCCATGCACTCAGTATAACAACGCTGGTGGCGCTGCCTACGGATTGACAGGCAAAGCTCTCTCAAAACACTTAATGCTTTTTACCATGCGGTTGGCATTCTGGGTTAAGTAGTATGTTTTCTGTGGTACTACTACGAATTTTCCACGTTTACTCTTACTGAAATCAACGTAGCTCTGTTGTTTTTGCACAGATTTCTGTAAACTTGGTGTTGTTGTACTACTTGTTAGTTTTTCTAACCATAAATTGTTTGTAACATGCCCTAAACAAGCGCAATATTTCCGATATTTCATTTAAAAGTATTTTTAAATTTTATTTTTTTCAATAAATGTTGATTAGCGCCTAAAGTATAAGAGATAGAAGAAAGGTTGTAATACCTTTTTGAAAGACAATATATTAAGGCGTTGATAGACGCTTAAACCACCTTTCTATCATAAACCGTTTGTGAGTAAGACGCGGAAACGTAAACCGATGACCCGCGCAACTTCCCCCCCTCCCCCCCGAGTTGTGACCACCCTAGAAATGCGACATCATCGATTTTTTTCATCTACTACATGTCCCCAACAATAATCAAAAGTCAAATTTTGTCAGACTTTCAGTGCATACTCAACCCGTTTAGCGCCTGGACTATACAGTTGCTTGCTTATTGATCTGTTTAATAAACAAGGCATTTAGTTCGGAATACTATTTTTGAGTTGATTTACTTTTAGTCATCATTTTGTGATGGAGACAGTTTATCCTTATTTTTCAAACAGGTTTATTAACCAATAATGTGCATTGTACTGGTTTAGCCCCAGAAACGTAAATTTACTACTATATCTTACGCTTACACTTGGTTTTACAGGGACCGAGTCTACAAGCTGAATCTGAGCAACATCAACCAATCCAACTGTGAAGTAAGTGAAGAATAGTTTCTATGTATTTAGGTTGTGCTTCATTAGATTTTTTCCTTTATTTTCAGTAACAACAATGTCAACTTGAATAATCAGAGTGGTTAAGAGGAATAATTTATTACTTATATTAAGTTTTCGTTAAAAATATAGATTGTATACAAACGATTGTCCTTGGATGAAAAAATGTGTACAAAAAAATAATTAATTTTTTTTATTATTATGTAATTACTTTTTAAAATAATGTAAACACCATTAAGATAGAAAGACATTTGAGGTACGAATAAATATTTACTTTGTGTTGCAATAAAACAACAATGCGAATGAGACAACAAACACAAATCTAGTCACTAAGACAGTAAGATATCTAAGTACAACTGTAAATTATACTGTTTCTAACACTACTTTGTGTTTGCTCTATGTCATTTAGTAAATAGATGAATTAATAAAAAATATCTTTGGTACCTAAATATTAAAATTTTTATTCCATACAAGTTAAACTGATTTATTGGAGTTTGTATGAAATTGTTTACTAATATTTACCTTGTTTGGTTTTTCAGAGGGATTCTCTGACGTTAGAACCGAGCAGTGTGGCAAGCTGTGTGTCTAAAGGGAAGTCTGAAGTGAGTATTGTAACATAAGAAAAATAAATCAACTCATTTGTTCACCCATTTAACACAGCAAGCAATAGGTAATGTTAAAAAAGTGTGGTAAAAGTGTTGACTCGTTGACTGTGGTAAAAGGGTTGTTCGAAGAATATTTTCTAAATAACAGGAACTTATCCTTATTTCATGTCACTGAATAGTATAATATTATTTTAACTAACAAGAATGTTTCTTCTGAATATTTTATCACTGAGGTTGTACTATAAGTTTAATCAACAGAAACCTACACTTAGGTTTCAAGTCACTCAATCGTACTTTGACTAAGAAGAAATCCATATGTAGATTTAATTTCACGAATACTTTACTTTACTATTTCTCCTAATGAACACGAGCTATCTTTTGATTTCATTTCATTGAGTCAGACAATATTTTATAATCAACAAAATTTCCCCACTCCAATCAGTGCACAAAGCAGTTCTCCAGGTATACAATTACTACTATCATGTCACCTGGAGGTAGGTTTGATTGTCCTCAATGCCAATGCTCTATCATGATATACAACCCATTATGATTAATTATTCACCGGGGTTGTTGTAGATGGGCAGCGGTAGGTCCACTGGGTGATACTGTTCAATGTCCTTGTGTCAGTCTAGTGTCTCGGATATGGAATTTGTGAATTATGTATCTATTTGTAAATATATGATAATCGTTTGAAAATGTAAAAACAATTAGATTTTTGAAAATTTCAAATCAATATACAGTGTGTAAATTAAGTCTTGAAACAAATCTGTATTTTTAAACCGAAATAGATAGAAATATTCTGTTTGTGGCGTTGACTGTTAACAAAGGTTCTGTAATTTCTTACATCAAAAATATTTTTTAACCCCCCTAACATGGTAGGGGGTAGGGGGTAGGGGGTGACTAATATTTTTCAAATAACAACTTCTATTGAGTGAAAAAGCACCCATTTTTGAATAACCACCATTTTGACTAGGGGTGAGATATCCACCTATTGTTTGTGTCATTGTGTTTCTTTAAACAAATCCTTCAAAATGATGGGTAACTCATTAGCAGTGGCTATTTGAAAAAAATAAGTCAACCCCCACCCCCTACTCTGTTAAGGGTGTTATAAAATTTTGTTGGTTTTAAAAATTGCGGAACCTTTGTTAAGAATTAATGCTACAAACAGAATATTTCTATCTATTTCGGTTTTAAAAATACAAATTTGTTTCAAGACTTAATTTACACACTGTATACTGTTATTAAAATAGAGTGTTTCACTCTACATGTTCATAAGCAAAAACAAATGTGACAATTAGGTAAAGAGTGGTAGAACTACTATAGTATTTTTCCTGTTCTGTCTGCGAAATTGCAAAGCTCTGAGATGGACCTATTAATATTAATAAATAATATTAGTAATAAATATTAATTGGTCTATATAGAGAAACATAAGACCTATTGCATTTACACTTGATTTTTTTATATTTCTAAATTCTATCCATTCAACACTTTCAAAATGCTGATCTAAAATCTCAAAATCTCTATCTGTTTGTTTTAAAGAAAGTGAAAAGCTTCAAGCAATTAATTATCTTGTTAAGTTATTGCTTTGCTTGAATTGGTTGATTTTCAATTTTAATTTAAATAATCATTTATTTCAATTTCAGCATTTTGAGTGCAGAAATCACATCAGAGTGATACAGCCAGTTGGAGATGGAGCGAGAATATACGTTTGCGGAACAAATGCTCACAATCCAAAAGACTGGGTCATATATGTAAGTATTGATGATTTGTTATACATTTAAAAACTTGTCACTTTGTAGGCATTGAAATATACTTGTAAAAAGTCAATGACACGGTCATCTTTAAAATTAAAAATGCATCACAATTTGATTTAAAATCTATACTGTTATATTTTTTAAGCTAGTATTCTATCTTAACCTTTCTTTCTGTCAACGTTGCCTGATCGATAAAAAAAATATTAGGGACTAATTTTTCCTTAGTAATTGCTTTAAGGGATATTTTTCCGAGGTAGTGACATGAACTTGTGTACACTTCACAGCAAATGTTTTGTATTGTTTTGGATATCTAATAGAAATTTTCCAATTTTGATGAAATTTAAGTCAAACTGTCAAACAAACATATTTGAGAGGGTTTGCAAACTTAATCAATATGAATTAGAGTTTTTAACCTTTTAAAAGACAATTAAGTAGTTAAAAGACAATTAATTTTAGAATAGGACATATCTCTTATCTGATGGGATTCATATGCTATAACATCATGGAGTTTTAATTAGAGGTATTCTTAAATTTGTTATACAATTCATTTATTCAATGTTCTAATCCTAGACTTCCTCTTACCACAAGAAAACTTGCTTTACCATGCTACAGTACCTCTAAACATTCATACCCATTGATTGAAGGTTAAGGTAACTTTTAGTTATTTTAAGTTTTTATTTCACGTAAGGGATTTTTCTGATCATTTTCCATCTATAAAAGTACCCAAAACATAGCAAGATTAGGATGTAAACCAATTCAAAACTCAAAATTGGTTGTGTCGCTAGCCTAGTGGTTAGCGTCTCGGACTTCGGTGCGGGAGGGACGGGTTCAATCCCCGGCACATCCACTAAACATTTAATCTCTTGTAACTTCTCTTGTGAAATGCCACTGGCGTAGAAAAAAAAATCACAAAAGAAAAAGCACAAGAGAAATGTGTGGTTGTCAAAGCTCTAAGCAAAAAATCGTGAAAGAAAAAACAATTAGAACAAAACATAAAGGTTTGGAAAACACAATGGTTAGTCTGCGGAAGATGGTGTGTCAAAGCACAAAGACAAAATCGTGAGAGAATAAACAAGTATTAGAAAACATAAAGGTTCAGAAAAACCAATGGACACGTCTGCGGAAGATGGTGGTTCAAGCAAGACAGAGACAGCTGTGCCCAGTTTGAACCATCTTCTAACTTTGAGGATTGAACTGGGAACCATTTGATTATGTGAGCACTACAGACTTTTAAAACTCCACTTTTGTCACAGTCCAACCTGACGCACCTCCACCGCAGCGAGTACGTCCCTGGCGTAGGCAACGGCATCGCCAAGTGTCCGTACGACCCCAGCGACAACTCCACAGCTGTGTGGGTAGAGAGAGGCAACCCTGGGGAACTCCCCGCGCTGTACTCCGGCACCAACGCAGAGTTTACCAAGGCAGACGCTGTCATCTTCCGGACGGACCTGCACAATCTGACCACCGGCCGCAAGGAGTTCAGCTACAAGCGGACTCTGAAGTACGACTCCAAGTGGCTTGACAGTGAGTATTGAATGTAATTTATAGGTGTATGTTAAGGTGTTTGAATGTGGAAAAGATTGGGTTATATATTGGTTAGGTTGAAGGGATGTTAGAGTGGTTTAACAGCAATGGAAAAGTTTTTGGATCCTTAAATTGCCTAGTCATAGTTATAGTCAAGAATTGTTATTCATAAGTATACAAAGTTGTGTATGAATAGCGTCAAATAGGTAAAGTAAAACTAATGCTTAAATTTAGATACGAGTATAACCATATTTAATTAATCTAAAGAATATAAGAACATGACTTTTCAATATTCCTTCAGACTTTTTTAAAGGGTTGTATTTAAAAAATTCATGTATGTCCTGAATTGACAGTCTTTCTGTTGAAGAGCTCAAAATTATGATTTTTGATTACAAAGTTGTTTTTTTGTTGCATGTGTTGTGGTTATGATTGTTTTCATTAACTTAATTTAAGCATTGAAATTGTTTTTGACAAACCTTATACGAACAGTCAAGAACATATTATAAGCCATAAACAGTGAGGAATTGTTTAAAAAGTTCATTGGCTTAATCTTCATTGTTAATTGTTGTAAATACAAAATACGGATTAGTGTTGTGTTGACTGATCACAGTTCTAGTATTTAAATTAATTTGTCAAAGATCATGAACATTTGTTTGAAAATTTGGAATTGTATCGGAATTTGGATTTGAATCTGATAGAAATTGGTCCTGAAACACTCGTAACACTGTGGATTTACTTCAGATTTCATAAACCTGTCAAACAGTGGTTTACAATAGACAGTGTCAGTCAAAGGAGATTATGATGCAATACTGTCAGTAAGTCAAGACATCCCTTGGCTGATTTGAATAACATGTAAATCAGGCATTATCTAGAGATTCCCCAATATTATAATACCAGCTCAGACTATTGTAACTGTAAGGTTACAACTTAGTGTGGTCTCTTGGTTGTAAGTACTGTAGGATCCTTAGTTGCCATTGGCTGTATGGGCTATTAATTAACAGCTCTGTGTAAGGAATATGTCGGCCTTAGTAGCCTTAGTAGTAGTAGTAGATTTGAATAACATGTAAATCAGGCATTATCTAGAGATTCCCCAATATTATAATACCAGCTAGCTTATAATACTTACCCTAACAAGACTACAAGATCACGCCACTCATCCTTCATTCATTATTTGGGTTAAAATATGCATATAGTGGCGTCTCCATTTTAAATAATTATATAATTATACTATGATTTGTTCGTAGTGCCATTTTAATTTAAACTCTTACAGAAGAAATATATTAGTCTAAGTTTTATTCAAAAACATGAACTTTTCCTCTGAAGACTCTTAATTTACAATGTACCTTTGCTCAAAATGCTTTTTAGGCAAACCCTTAAGCTCCGGATACTAAATCTTCCGTAATTAAAAGATGAAAGCAGCAGGTGCATGTGCAGTTTTTCCTGCTTCTCATAATCTTATCATATTTTAATCACGCTTAGCAAAGGACGAGGGTGGTAAAAGAATCCTCTTTGGGAAGACCGTTAATTATATCACAAGCCCAACTTTTATAAAAGCCTTTAATTGGTCAGCTAAACTCCCCTCCCCTCGGGGTGAAAAGAGGGTTGAAATCCCTGGTACTTAGCGTACAACCCTGATTACAAGGCCCAACTTCTCACTTGGTCCCCAAATAATTCCCTCCCTCTAATATATCCCTCACATCGGGATGCAGTAGCAACTCCTAATTGCTAAAGTTTCTACGTAAATTAATCGGATTTTAATTATGTGTCTGGAGCTTTCAGTTTGGTAATTTAATATAATAACACTTAGTGACATATACAGAGACTAAATGCAAATATGTTGGTCTTGTTGTTTAATAACTAAGTTATTTGTTTTAAGATTTATTGTAACATTAAAAGATATTTTTTCCAATCCCCTCATATATTCATAACTTTTTTAACTATATATTTTCTAAACATTATTGTGAATTAGTTATTCCATTTATGTTTTAAATGTTGCCAGATTTAGGTTAAAAATAATTTAGTTCAATTGAGCCATTAGCAGTGTATGCTACCCGGCCTAAAATAATAGTATTTTCCCCTTGCCTAACTATTCAATCACGCCTTAACTTAATGAAAATTATTTTCACGCCATTCAAATTAGACGCTTTATTGAGACTACAGTGCATTAAGCACAGATTTTAAAAAAACAATATCAACATATAAATTTATAAAGAAATTCTTACTGAAATATTTACTTTTGCAAAGTAAACTAATCCAGTGTTAGAAATCTGCTTCTCAAACTCAACAAATGTTTTTCGGTTATGAGACAGAAACGTTTTATCTTGAATTTAATTTAATTTCTAATCAATTACCAACTTAAGGCGTCAGATTTTTAGAGGGAAACTTTTAAGTAGATGTAAGCCAAGCACTGAGTAAGATCTGCATTAAAGTTTGAAACGAGATAACTACTTGACTCTCTCCAACTTTTCCGCCTTTTCCCAGCTTTCCGCTCTGAAATTGCAAATAAGATTTTAAAAGAAAGTTATGCACGGAACTTTCCATTTCGTTTATTTTAAAGTTTGTGAATCTGATTTTGATTTATTCACTGAGAATTGATCAAAAGTGTTGCAGATTGCTGCAGAATGATTCTTTTCTCTTTTAAATTGAAAACTTTAAACATTAAATATTTTCATGTCTTTATTCGTATTTATTATGTAAAATCGGAGTTGCAATATGATGTTGACAAACTGACAGCATATTTAATATGAAGGTCAATAAATGTTCCTAGAAATTCAAAGAAATGTTAAGCAGGATAAGTAGTTTGAAAGATTGAATCCAAAACAGGTTTCAAGTTTGTTGTTAATAATAATAATGGAAAAAGGTCAACATTGTCTGGCAAGAAGACCCCGTATTAGCTGACTATAAATGCAGGGTGACTAGTATAAAAATATCTTATTAGTTTTCAACCCTAATTTGTTTGCAGAGCCGCAGTTTGTCGGATCATACGACATCGGCCAGTATGTGTTCTTCTTCTTCCGAGAGACCGCTGTGGAATACATCAATTGTGGCAAGAACGTGTACTCTCGCGTGGCAAGGGTCTGCAAACGGGACACCGGTGGCAAAAACATCCTCAACCAAAACTGGGCGACCTATCTCAAAGCGAGGCTTAACTGCTCCATTCCCGGGGAGTTCCCTTTTTACTTCAATGAAATACGTGAGTACAAGTTAGATAGTCAACAATTAAGCTGTTTTGTTTCTACTCACTTAGGTTTCAAAGTTAAAAATATTTTCATTTATTTTTTCTACTTATCACTCTTTGGAGAGCAAGCTGGCCTTGTAGTGATAAAGTGCAGGACTCAGGTCCCCGAGGACTTGTGATCCTGCCAATCACCAGTGGATTTTATTGAAGTGATACTGCTTCTCCCTAGCTAGGACAGAACTTAGTGCCCTTGGATGTAAAAATGGGACATAAAAATCACTTACCACTCATGACTTGCCATTCATTACTTTCATTACCTCTTGTTTCTCTTAATATTTCTCTTAATGACAGTAATTATAATTCTCATTCCTATTCCTCTCATATCCCATTGCTTTAATACCATTACAGGCTCACTAAGTTTCCCTGTTTACTCATACCTGATTCATCACTGATCATTTTACTTCATTTGGTCTATTAGTTAAGGGGTTAGAGCACAGGATGTCCTCTGGGCATCGCTGTCTTGCGGCTCAGGGTTTAAATCCCACCAATTGTCTTCGTGTGGTGATGCTGAGCCCAAGCAGTTTAGAACCCATAAGCTGTATGTATACCTATTTTGAAAACACAAGGGATAGACAAGGAGAACTGTATCTTTATTGGAGATATCCCTTTACCAAAAGCCTATACATACAGGGTCTACTAAAGATTAGTACAGTAACCATACTGTTACTTTTGTTCTACCTGTGTTAGGTGCATGTTAAAGTTAAGATTTACTCATCATTGCTACTCAGTTTTTTCATCTGAATGGATTTTGTGACTTAAAATTAATATTGATAAGTAGATACAAATAGATAAGTTTCGCCAATGGGACACCCTGTGTAATTTATACTTATAGGGTGAACTAAAGACAATAGGGGGTCTATCTAACAAACATCATTGTACTTTGAAAAGTAACAGGCTTAAATTATAAAATTTTAATAATCTTTTATGTATACCCCGAAATTTTAACTCCACCTATTTAATTAGATAAATTTTACTTCATTCATACATTATTTAGAAAACAAAATGGCATCTTAGATAGGGAGGACATTTGTGTATAAAAGATCCTTAATTAGATCAATAGGATGATTTTAAAACTATATTTTGTTTATACGTTTACGAGTATATTTCCTTTGCAGTTATGCAAAAGTTAGTCTTAGTTAATGCTTAGTTTGCATATCATAAGAGTAGGAATATCTCGGACGAGGAAAAGTGTGTCAGTATAGGTGATTTCTTACTACACTCAATTTTCAGAGCTATGGTGTAATCTGTTTGCTTTTCTTCCTTAAATCATCACACAACTCCCCACTGTTGTAGAGAGCATCTACAAGGTGCCGGGAGATGACACCAAGTTCTACGCAGTCTTCACCACCTCCACGACAGGTCTGATGGGGTCTGCCATCTGCTCCTTCTCTCTGGACGACATCCACCGTGTGTTCAAGGGCAAGTTCAAGGAGCAGGCTACAAGCAGCTCAGCCTGGCTGCCAGTCCTGAGCAACAGAGTGCCTGAGCCTAGACCTGGCGAGTGTGTCAATGATACCGAGACTCTGCCTGGTATGTGGACATGTCTTCCTCTACGATGTCTATACATAAGTTAGATTAGACGTAGTAGATTAAATTGGATTAAGTTTCACACATCAGGTTGAATAGACAAAGGTGAAATAGGTAGAATAAAGTGAGATGCCTTTTGTGTAGCTTTGTTACTGACTAAACTGATTTGCTATTTCCTACTATTTATTGCTGAGTCCTACTATTTAGTCTAGATCAAGGACAGTTTGGTTTACACTAGTAGATTATAAAATTTGGTTTGTGGGTGTAACGGACCTTCGATAGTCATACCTTGAGTTGTTATTTCCATTTTTTAACTTTGTATAAAAAAAATAATATTATTTTATTCAAAATTGGCTTTTAGGATTATTCAACCTCATGTTCTCTTGCGTATCTAATAAAAATATTACCTCCCTATTTCCCTTATCCCTGTAGCAGAAATGAAGATAGAAAATGTAAACATGGATTTAATGATAGCTAAGTGTATCAATACTGACTGCTTTTTGATTTTTTAAGTTCCACTTTTTCTATAAACTATAAACTATGAGAATTTTTTACAACTGTAAAAGTATTTCATTACTTCTAAATAATCTATACCAATTAGAAGTATTAGAACAAAAATGTGTGAGGATTTTACCTCTAGAAAGGAGAATCTGATGAACTGTAAGATTAAGGAACGATTTGAGCTCCAACAATAGAAATTTCAAGGATCATTAAAACCAGTGATTTGGACCCTCTCAGCCCCTCACAAGTGGGAATAAATTGTTCTAATTTTAGGTTCAATGAACACCTACTTTTTTCCTTAAGTTAATTCATTCTCTAAAAATCCACTTTATGAATAATTTTAAAGTTAGTAGATGAATAAAGTAGGTTATTTTACCACAGTTCATATTGTAAGGGTTTTTCCATTAATTATAAAAAGTTATAGCCATTAACTATATTGTTTGTTGTAGCTAACAATTTTATGTCAGTAACTAGCCGCCATACCCATGCTTCGCCACGGGAAATGAACGCTAATGAGAATAATCATGTTCTGTAGATCTGATGTATGAAAATCAAATAACTCTAAAATATGACAAGATTACTACCCTCTGGGTTGCTGAAAACTAATCTTTGGAAGAGTAAAGTGAAAGAAATACTGAAAACAAAAATTAATAATAGATACAAATTATATTAATGAATACTTTCTGCATATTGAATGATTACAACTTAGTCATACTTTGAGGAATGTATGTCAATAATAATTCCAGATTCAGAATCCTACACAAATTACAATGAATCGTGTGAATTGTGTGTATTTTCGTGATTGATGAAAAATTTGCGCTATAAGGCTTTAAATAGTAATTTAGTCATCGACACTAGCACAAAAGTAATTACCATCTGGTTTATAGTCTCAAGTACTATAGTTTGGCCGCTTAGAAAACGACCTCTTCCAGCATTGGTTTAGCATTAGCGCACAGGTCGTTTTCTAAGCGGCCGAGCTATAGTACTACTAGTCACAAATGCTGCAACAAACTAGTTTGTTATTCAGCTTGTGTTAAAGGGCTTTTAACTAGCAAACTATAAAATATTGATGTTTTAGAAGTAATACCTATCAGACATTTTTCTTTTTTTTTACAACTTTACAAACGTATCCAACCTTTTTATCACCATACTTTGAGCCGCCCAGTTCACATCACATGTGGTTGTACCCTGTTGCAGACACTGTTCTCAACTTCATCCGCTCCCATCCGCTGATGGACTCAGCCGTTGCACATAAGGACGACAAGCCAGTGTTCTACAAGAGAGATCTACTGTTCACTCATCTGGTTGTAGACAAACTCAAGTACGACGTGTTCGGAGACCAGATGGAGTACACGGTCTACTACGCCGGCACCAGTAAGTCTTCAGCGTATTTTGTAATTTGAAATATACCTTGCTTGTTTTTTAAGGGACTAGAGTTCCAATAGTTCAATCGTCCAGCTTAACTGAAAATTAGTTTAGGAGCTTACAGGTATACAGTAGAGGTGACAAAATGTAACACTTGTAATTTCATTCTTATTTAGGACTTTTTAGAGAGTAGATTGAAGAGAATTTTCTGAAACTGTAGAATGGACTGTATCCAGCAATAAATTATTACTCGTGTTTTGAACTTAAAGTTACATTTACCTCCAATATTCTTATTAACAAATCTTTTTTTTTAAATAGTACCTCGTTGGAAATTAAATGATCGCTTTATCCATTAGTTGTTATCAGTATACACAAAAACCTATCCTTATCAACATAAAAACAGAAATACTCGTATGTCCTCTAGTAGGACAAAACATCACTATTATGCTTGTCCCAATTTGTTTGTATTTTTTTACATTCTCTTCCTATCACTTACATAGTGTATGGAGGAAGTATTAATTTTGTCAACATTTTTTAGTTTGTGTTTTGGGTGGTAATGTTGTTTTGGATCCCTCTCAACCCATAAAAAGAGTTTTTGAAGTGATGTCTGCATGTGTTAGGATATGTACAAAGCTACGGACTACACCTGTAGCCCGATTTTGATGATAATTGGTATGTGGCTACTAATCCTTGGTATCTCCAGGAGTTTTTAAAATTTAGTTTTTAACGTAAAGTTTACCCATAAAAATTCATAAAATACTGTTATGGGAAAATTGTGTTTATAAACAATTTTAATGACAATGTAGTATGTATGGTACTTTTGACTTTAAACAATATGGTACAACCCTCAATGCTGTAACAACAATGGTTCAAAAGTTATTGTAATTTCAATTTCTTTATTTGACCCATAAAATAGCATAGTTACTCCTGCTGCATCTCATCATATAGTTTAACAATGGGATTTGAATTTAATATTTTTAAATTCACTATACCTGATTTCTTTTATTTCATGTGCATAAAATATCTATTTATTCATAGCTAAGTTTTCTCAAAGGTTAAAAGCTGTCAGATAAATGTTGTGCTTTATTCACGCTGTGTTCGTGTATTATAAATAAACAGTAGTGCAATCTCCAACTCCAATCCATCATTTCCACGGGTGTCAATATTGGGTTGGTACAAGGACTCTAAACAGTGCTGAGATAATGTTGTCTTAACCAAACATTGGACATGGCTGCCCTTGTCAACACACTAAGGGGGAGGGGCATGAAATGTGCATTGGCTTGGTTTTGTCAAATATCCCAGTTGAAATGTGTTTACAATTACAGTTGATGCATTATGTCGATAAATGTAGCGTTCGTAGTTGTGGAAACACAGTATTGGTGGATCATGTTTGGGTTAGAGGTAAAGGCTTTGGCAGTTTAAACAAATATTATGCTCAAAAATATCAATGCTACAAAAATTGGTGGCTCAGATTGTAAATTTGTGAAAAATACCCCAGTTAAAATGTTTTTTTATTGTTACGCTTAATTTTCATTTCACACTTGTGAATAGCCAGAATATTTTTATCAGTTCATATTTTGGTTTGACTATAGGTGCGAGAAGGCTTCTTTAGCTTTTTACAAAATATTATTGATTTATTAATTGTAAAACTAGTTTGATCGTTTAAGTAGGTAACAAAAAAAAGTCAATTACACAAAAATGTATAAAACAACCCTGGAATAAAAATTTTTTACTCTTGCCAACTGCAACAAGCTCGAGCTTAGCATGGCCGCTAGGTTAGGTAGTCTATCGCGAGATCTAGCACAACCAAGTCAGCTGACTGAGTGAGACAAAGAATTGGCTTAGGGAGAGATAGAGATAAGAGTAGCCCGGCGAGCGAACCTAACGGCAGCCGCGTGAAGCTCATTTCAACGACAAAATTTGAGTCTGACTATTCTCCATACGCATTTAGCCTCTTTAAGGGTCTGTATTCATTGATTATAAGCAGTGTCAAAACTCACTAATTCTATTACTCTGGGGTTTGGGTGTTTCTCATTTTGAAATACCGTATGTGTACACTTTTCTGTACAACTTATGTTAATCAAACTAATTTGTTACAGACCAAGGCAGAGTCTACAAGATCGTCCAGTGGTACGACGATGAAGGAGAAGCCTCGTCAGTGTTGTTGGATGTGTTCGATGTGACTCCCAACGAACCAATCAGAGCCATGGAGATATCTAGGACGGTCAGTTGAAACTGGTGGACTTACTATTATATTATCCCAAATTTATACATTAATTTTATAACCCACCAAATAATTTTGTAGCCAAAGTGGTCCCTTTATCCTTGTATCCTTCAACATTTAGACAGTGAAATGCAGAATTTCAATAATACAATATGCAAATAGGATTGTGTTGATGAATTTATTACACATTGCATCTATCAGTAACAACTGTTTGTATATAATATCAAAGAAAGATGAATCAAATTTTCGGTGCTAAATTATAGAAGTAAAACCTACAAAATTTACGCTTTGTGAATTATTTAACCTGAAGAATGCTGCAGTATGATGAAAAATATGGTTGCTCATTTTCCAATCTTCGCTTCGACTACGTTCTTAAATTTGACCTTGACCCAAAAAGAGCCCTTGAGACAAAATATAACATTAAGTACTAAAGATCTGTGGGTAAAAGTAAAAGGTGCTGTCTGCTAATTTTTAGACTATATTATAACTGTTTATTTCTTTGCTGACTGTTTTTACTCTGTCCACAGCCCAAGTCGCTGATTGTAGCGTCGGATGAACGTATCCGTCAGATAGACCTGGTCATGTGTAATCGCAGATATGACAACTGTCTACGCTGTGTACACGACCCTTACTGTGGCTGGGACAAGGACAGCAATACCTGTAGACCATACATGACTGGGTATGATCTATTACAAAAGCCTTACCACATATATTTTCTAGAGTTCTGTGGGCAAGAATTTTTTATTGACTTTTTCATCAGGTTTGGTCGGACCAAATATCATAATGTTTTGTTCTCATACCAAAATAGGGTTGCTGGAAAGTATTAACCAGAAAAAAATCTTTATACAACACTTTGTTTACAAAATATTATATAATATATACCTCAATTGCCGTAAAATCGTGAATGTCTTCTTTTGGTCGATGAATGTGTTATCATCTCCTGCGATTGTGACGTAATCGTGAGCATCCTCTGAAATTACGGTGGAATCATGAATTTTGAACTGTGCAATCTTCATATACACTTTCTCAAATCCAGGTGAAATGATAAAATCTTGTGTAAACTTCTATAGTCCGTCCGTTTGGCTATGATACCCAGCGGATTAGGGACCTTCTCGGAACCAACTCACCCTCTCGACCCGCTCGTCTTAAGGTGGCCGGAGACAAACAGTGACTCACCCACTGTCACAGTCCCACAGATCTGTAACTTTTTTTTGTTTTAAGTTAAAAGTTCTTTATAAATTTGAGTTCTACATGAAATTCCAAAAATAATGAGCCCGAACACGATGTGGATACTTAATATCTACGATCTGAAAGAAGTAGGTACAATTACTCTGTATCGTCACCAGATTTGTCTGACTTTCAGATCGTAGATGTTAAGTATCCCGTCATGTTTGGACTCATTATTTTTGGAATTTCATGTAGAACTCAACTATACAAAGAACAATCTATTGTAACTTAAAATTAAAAAAAAGTTACAGATCTGTGTGACTGTGATAGTAGGTAGGTAAACTTTTTATCAACGGCCAGCCTTGCGAGTGTCTCTGAAGGGTGAGTCGAGTTCCGAGAAGGTTCCTAATCCGCTGGGTATCATAGTCAAACGGGCAGACTATATAATGTAAATTACTCAACCCAAGTTTAGTCCAAAAATTAATTCTGACCTGATCTGATCACAATTGGTTGCCCAAACCGACCCTTAAATTTTAGAAACCTGCAGGACCCCTAAAATTTTCCAAGGTTTTTTTTTTATTTTCACCATGTATTTACCACATTATGTATCTGTAACAGTATTGTTATGCATCAATGTCACATTTCAGACATTAAATTACATATATAGGTATATACAAATACAATACCCGCTAACACAATGCGTACTGTCCAGGCTGCTGCAAGATGTTACAAACAGCACTGCTAGTGTGTGTGAGAGTTCAGTGATCAAGAAGAAGTTGTCTGTGACGTGGGGTCAGAGTGTACATCTCAGCTGCTTTGTCAAGATGCCACAAGTCCTCAGCTCTCAGACTGTCACCTGGTACCACTACAGCAAGGAGAAGGGCAGATACCAGATCATCTACAGGTCAGAAATGTATTTTATATTTTCAGTTTTCAGATTGGGGTTTTAATAATGAACCTGCTGTACCCTTTTTATTCTAGTAGTTTCACACGCTTTCACAGAGTGTGCCACAGTAAAATTCTTTTTACCCCCTATTTTGATATACTATAATAGTTGACGTGAATTAAAAAGATGGTGTAATTTAAAATAAATTCTCCTTTGAGTTAAAAGCTTGGTTAAAAAGTTGGCATGTAAAGAAATCAGTATTTTAGGACTGATTTTACAACCAACCAACTAACCAAATCTCTTATCCGACCTTATAATCTAAAGTAAACTCATCTAGACTTTACATGATGATGGTTCAACCATTGTATGCCATTGAAAAATATGAGTGGTTTTGCCGAACCAGTAAATAGTTTTTCCTGTAATGGTATTGGAATTACGTAGCCTACTGATAAAATGACATAGTATAATGACTTCTCACCAGTACAATGTACCAGATAAACTGGCACATGTTCCCATAAATTATGTGACAAAGCCACCCCTGGTTTCTTTACCATGTTGCTTCTCTGAACTAATTCCTAGCTCCATTCATGGGTTCTATCCTTCATCCTGACCAGGCACTTCATCTATGCCGATTAACATACTTCTCCCCTCAGCTATCACTGAAGCAATAGCATCTGGATCAATTTTCTTTTATTCCTTTTATTTTTTCCCTCATAATTCCCAGATTAGTTTTACTGTGACAAAATTAACAAACTCGTGTTACTCCTAGTTCCCTATTGTTTCCAAGCAGCCATTGGCCTTCTTTAAGTTCTTTAACTGTATGGCTAAACTTGTTGTGACAGAGGTGACAAGTACATCGAGACGTGTGAGCGTGGCCTGGTGATTGTGACAGTCAACGAGGCAGACTCCGGTCGCTACGACTGCTGGCTCGGTGGCTCTCTGTTGTGTTCCTACAACATCACCGTTGACACTCATCGCTGTTCCCCTCCTGGCAAGTCACACGACTATCACAAGATATACTCTGACTGGTGTCACGAGTTTGAGAAGTACAAGTACGCCATGAAGACTTGGGAGCGCAAACAGGCGGTGAGTGAATTTGACAATTAATTTCTAGACGTTGTTAGGTAAAGCAAAAGGATGGTACAAGAGTGGTAAGGTTGGTTGTCAATTTTGAAAACTTTTTTGTACTTTAATTTTTTGGGTATGACAATATGGTTATATCATAAAGATTCTTAGCAACCATGAATGCTTCTTTATTGGGGGGATTTAAATAGAATGCTTTCTTTTGAGAATTTGGCTGACTGTTCATTAGTATTTTTCCCTTCTTTGACAGATTTTTCCGTTGTACTTAAAAATTATGTGGTGGAATCATTGTAAAGCTGCATATTATAAAGGGGTGCGTCTGGTTTAGCTTTAAGAACACAGCTGACTTCTGACCTGGAGGTATCAGGGTTCAAATGTTACCAATTACCAACGACTTTTAGCCATGAATTTACGCCTCAATTCTGTAATTATTGACCAACTTAAACTATAGGTCCACATATCTCAAATTGAAGGATAGATTACTTAAGTTAAGAGAATATTCTATATTGGAAATGTTCTGCCCTGCCAGGCTTTTAGTTATAGTACTAATATGGTATATTCTATAGACTGAGTTTTATAGAATACAAAACTGTTCAAATAGACTGTTTGATCTATGACAAATACAGGTTACTTATGTTTAGCTTTTTTAATGTAATGTGTTCTTGAATGTAAGTGTCTTTAATGTCTGCTTTGATAACATAAGTTTTGACTGAATGTTGTTTACTGTTTTTTACAGCAATGCAGTACTCGCCAGAATGACAGCAACCAGAACACACATCCCAACGAGATCTACAGAAGTCCACTCGTCTAGGTTGCCATGTGTATTTAGGTCATTTCAGTTTGAGCTCTAGTTTTTATCAAAGTGTTAGCGTTTATTGTAGACTAGGGTGCTCTATGGTTTTTATTCCTAGCATTATTTTCTTTAGGTTAGTTGTGTATAATATTTTCATACTCATTTTTAGACTCTTTCAATGTGACCCGATGAGTTAAATATTTACAAAAACTCTGGGACACTAATTGTAGGATTTGTCTAGTTTTAACTCATTATTTATTACTTTGCAAGACTGTAAACGTTTTAGTGTAAGTTTTATGTATTTGTGTATCCCTGTGTTTGTCTGTTTTTTTAGTAACTTGATTTTGAATATTTTTCTGTTTCGTGTACAGTTTGATTTACAAATTAGATGATTTTACATTTTCAAACTAGGGCTCAAATATAAAAACACGTCAGAAATCAGTGTTAATTACTGTAAAAATAATGTAAAAATATCTTTTGAAATGTATTCATTTTTAATACGCCCCTTAAAGCTGATCTTGGCAAGATAAATATTTTCTTTGGGTCTGTGATACGGTATAAATAACTCTGTGTAAATTAGATTTGTTTGGGGTTAGATTAGCTGGATTCTCAGTGTTTCCTTTGCAAGTTGCTTAAAAGTGTACAAAAATTGGTCTTAATAACATAACGTAATCCAAAGTCTTTTCATTAGTATTTTTCCCTTCTTTGACAGATTTTTCCGTTGTACTTAAAAATTATGTGGTGGAATCATTGTAAAGCTGCATATTATAAAGGGGTGCGTCTGGTTTAGCTTTAAGAACACAGCTGACTTCTGACCTGGAGGTATCAGGGTTCAAATGTTACCAACTTATTATGTAACAACTTAAGGAGTGTTTTAGCCTGTTGAAAACGTAATTCAGAAACATTTATGTCGTAAATAAATTCCATAACAATTCATTCAGATTTACTGTATATAAATCAAACAACTTGACTTGCAAAGCAAACGCAGAGAAGTAAATTACTATCGAGTTAAACGAATATTTTAGTCTTTTCATGCTTTTTATTTTTGAAGGGGATTAGTATTATTAACGAGCTTTGCTAAAATAGTGTGCGTTTGAAACGATCCCAGTGTACTCACAAAGAAATGCTCATTTGAGTCAGTTAATTAAAAATTTTTTGCTGTATATATCTTCATCTAATAATTTCCTATGAATCTAGCAAGAACAAATATCATTGCTATAGGACGTTACTGTTTCATTTGTATAGTTTGAAAACCAATGAAGATTTTATATAATGTCAAATGTCTAAATTCTCATACATAATGTTTCACCTCAGATTATCAATCTGTAAAAGAAACCGAAGGTTTAGCTCTCTCCTAATTTTCCAACGAGTAGTCTAATACTTAACATGTTAACTCTGGTGGTAGTTCACTTCTGTACCGTTAGGTTTTTTTCACATCAGAATGGTTCAGTGAAGTAGATTATTTTCTGAAGTAGTTAACACGCCATTCTGGATCCTAGATAGTATTTTTTTTACGTTTAAAACTCAGGTACAGAAGTAAGCATTGTGATTCTGATTCTCCTAAGATGTTCTGATGGTGCTGGCAATAAAAGAATGTGCATATTTATAACAATAGAACTGAATCTCTCTATCTTCTTTGCTCTCTATCTTACCCTCTAATTGTATCTTTTCCTGACAAATGCTTACTCATTGTCATATTTGTGTGGTGTGGATATTTGACACTTTGATAGCTTTATTTTTATGGTTTGAATCCTCGGAATAATAATATTTTGACAAAGATGGTAAACAAATGAGCGAAACTATAAAGTCGAACCAACCAAAATACTCCAACCATTAAATGTTGTTTCTTATGATAAGTTGCTCAAACCTAATTTCTCTGTTGCGCTGTACTAGGACAATATGTGATTGTAACCTATTATGTTTGATTATTGCCACATACTGTTTAGGTAGCTCCTCAGTTTGAGAGAAATATTTTTGTAAGCAGGCTCTATGTTGGTTGCTGCATAGATTGTATCGTTTTGGATTCGATTCACTGCCACAATAGAATGGTTCCTCAAGTACATACTCATTTTACTTATATATTATAATACCCATTCAGCTACAAATTGTCTTCGGATAAGAAGTTTACTAGCTTGTACTGGAGTGTCGATCGTCCGGTTTTGATAAAGAATATTTTTAGTTTTAATGATAATGCTTCAACTGTGCTAGGCTTTTTTATACGGCACGGTTAATTAGTATTATATTTAATATTGTATATATGAGTAAAAATAATGTGAATTATAATTAATTTTTATGGAAATTAATCCTTGTGTTTTCATTATTCCTTGTTACGTTCAACTCAATCTTATCCAAGTAAGTAAGGTTTGTTTGTTTATTATGATATATTTAAAAATATTACTTCTCTGTTGCTAATTTAACTGTTTGCCTCTATTATAACTTATTGTATTGTAATCCAAAAATATTGTATTAACTTACAATAACAGTTTCATGATTGCTCGAATTGCGATTGAAATATACAATAGGCTAATTAAGAATTTGCAATGTGGCAAATGGAAACTAGTCCAGTCATTGAAGAGATTGCAAGGATATGGAGAGGGGAAAATTTTTTAATATATTATTTTGAGAATATCTTGGAAACTAATGCATATACAGAAAAAACTAATAACACTTTTATTGTAGAGAATTTCATCATCTTTCTTTTTATACCCCACATTTTTTCTGTACGATGCACGGTTTTCAGTGTAGAAGTAGAAAACTAGAAAAGGGGCTCTAGAAAACATAAAACCAGCAGTGGTATGTGTGACAAAGAGATTTTGTCTATAAATTTTCAAACCCATCGTTTAATTGTGGTTTGCCATGTGGTGTTAGAAGAGAATTGAGGTTTTGCATGGAGAAGGCACAAATGAAAAGCTTCGTCAGGAAAATTCATTTTCAATTAACAACAAGGGCAGATTTCAGTATTCAGATTGTTCAATTATAATACAATTAGACTTGTGGCTTTGAATCTGAGAAGGGGAATTGTCAAGTGCTTTGTCATGGAGGCTGATTTTGGGGGAATGGAAATAATAAATTGTGCAAGAGTGCCACAGCACCAGCCTTCCCCTCTTTTTGCAAAAATTAAAAACCTGAAATTACTCTTTAATTAGAGCTATGCAGAAGGAGAAAGGACTTTTAATGGAAATTGCAGTCGCGAGACTTTTTCTCATTGTCGGATAACACAGAGATGAAAATGTTAGAATATTTCTTTTTACTAAATTTTTGTTATAAAATCCAAAGAAAAATTATCATAATTTTCAATGAAAATCATTTGTAGCTTGTTTATTGAACCTGTAAATATTACATGTTACTGTAAGTTATCTAAAATGCAAACGTTTGGTTAGATCCAACCAAGAAGCCATATTCATAAATTCATGTTTTCCAGGAACTCCCAGCAAAGGAAGTTTGATGTGGTTAAACCAAGGAGAAGCCTTACCGATTTAATAACTTGATATAGGTAATTGCTTTGATTATTGGTTAGTTGGAAAACAATTTTGTAGTTTGGGAGCTATAACCAAAAAGCTTATAACTTTGTGGCAATCCTCATAAGCATAAGATCACAAACTTTATCTGCAAATTCCTGGAAAAACCTGCAAGAAGATAAATTAGTGACAATTTGTATTTTACTTTGTACTTATTTCTGATGTGACCGCTTTTAAAATAACCTGAAGCAAGATATAAATAACTAATATGCCTGACTAATATTTCTTAACTTTATATACATTTTGATTTTTATAGTCTAAAAATAATTAAATAATTAATAATTAAATATATAAGCGAAAAGGTTTATTTTAATTTACTCTTTTAACAGAAATTATAACACCACATCAGAAATCTGGATTATGAGGATGAGTAAAATTAATATTGTTTGTACTGATATGAATTACTATATGTCCAAATATTTCTTCAGGTTACTTCTTAAATCTAATGTTTTTTTATTAAAATGGAAAAAATACACAATAATTGTGTCAAATGTCCATTCTAACCAAACATACAGTCTTTGACAATCGGTTTTTTACCATTGGTGATTTGTAAAAACTGAAAATAAGAAACTACGCATACTTTAATAATAATGTATACAGCATCAATTGTTTACAAACCATAAAAATTTGTTGACAACATGATTTACTAACAAAATATTTAAGAATATTACACTCCCTTACTACATTAATTATTTAACAAAATCAATATTCTCTGCCTTAAAAGAGGGAAAATATAACTGTGTTTGTGTATTTTTGTTTATTTGAATTCAAACTACAGTACTTGTGGATATATCTGATTACCACTTCACATGTACAGGTACAGTGTCTTCTCCAATATGAGCTTAAATAAATCTTGGTTGTCTGTTATAATGACTCTGAGAGATCAGACCAAGACAATGCAGCTCCCCCTTTCAAAGTAACATAAACATGCTTATCCCTCCAAGTTGCTTTTAATGAAGTGCCTTAAAATACACAGAGTGTTGAAAATATTCAAGATTTTTATTATAAAAAAGTCTTTACTTGTGAATTATTCACCTAAAACAAACTCATTCATCGATTCAATAATGTGGATTCAATGAAAGTCTTTAAATTATCTGTTTGGTAAAAAAATCTTATTTTTATCTTCAGAAATTGTCAACTAATTAGCCTATATAGTTCTAATTTAAACTAATATTTGCTTCCAAAATTGAACATATTTTTGTTATAAAAATGTTTATATGACACTCGTTGAATGTCTGGATAAGTAAAATTTGATTCCTCAGCGTGAAAATATAAGAGTGTTATTTTTGAACGTTTTTCTTTAAAAGCCTTTGATATTTTTGCCACCACTAGTTTTCAGACGAAATTTATATGTTCCCTAACCCATTGATTAAACACCATTGATTGACATCCCTTCATAATGTATCTGTGGTGTTTCACCTGGAATAATTTAAAGAACATTTTAAAACAATAATAATCTGGGGAAATCTTTGTTTGCAATTAATACTCAATCTATTTTTTAGATACTTGATACTTCTCTGTTACAAAAATAGTCTCATTAATTGATAACGAAGCTATTCACCTAAAATTTTAGCTTCTTCCTCAGTTTTGGGGCCTGCTAACCAAATTACGCCAAGACTTCCCAATTAACATGAGACCCTCCTTCATTAAGGCTGCTGACTTGGCCTTTCTTGCCCCCCTTCCCCTCACTCAAAATATCCCCCTCATCAGCATTCATTGGGAAATTAAGCATGACATTACACTAAAATTTCATTTAAGTGACAAGGGTATTAGTGCATTGTGTAGCAATCTTAAAACTTGTGTAAAGTTGGGGGAAACATGTCTTGTTAAAACTCAAACTTAAACAAGGAGTACAGAACACTTGTTAGGCAACACTGTTATTATTATTTCTTTTAGCGAATTTCCCATATGAGGAATAAGCTATTACCGTAGTACTCATGGTAAGTCCTGGACGCGGGACCGATTTTTTTTTTCGTTTTGAGGTCCCTAGAGGCCAAAAACACCATCCGTTCAAATTCATATATATATATATATATATATTTATATATTGATATATTTATATATTGATATATTTATATATTTATATATTGATATATTTATATATTTATATATTGATATATTTATATATTTATATATATATATATATATATGTGTCCGTTAGCACGATAACTCGAGCAAAAATGATCCGATTTTGATGAAATTTGGTACAAACGTGTAAACCTACGTTTATTCGAACGAGTTCGCGATCCAGCATGATCGGACCATGGGAACGGGGGTTTACGGGGGGTTTTATGGGGTAAAAATAGGTTTTTCCCATTTTTGACCCCAAAAACATAAAATTTAGCAATTTCTTTCCAAACCATTTTGTAGAGCTTAAAAAAACAAATAATTTAGTATATTGAAGCGTTATTATGCGCCTAATGGTTACGGAGAAAATTTAAAAAAATTTTAAATTTAAAATTCCCATGTTATTCTTATGGAGAATAAGTAAACTGTTGTAGTTTGCTTGTTTATGAACATATTTTGATCAAATTTGGAAAATGTTTTTATTTCCTACTAACTACTAACATTTTACAAAAAAAAAACAGTTTTACCCTCCCTGATGCAGCAAACCTAAGTACTTGCTAAACTAATTCTATTTAAATCGGGAAATGTTATATTTTTAAGTAGACATTTCACTATTTCAGTGTAAATCCAATCAGTCAAATGGAAATTCGCTTAGTCTGCAGGTTTGCTGCGGCGGGGGTATTTAAATTTTTACATGTTTAGCCTCTGGATCACGTAATTTACTAATAAAAAGGTTAAATACCTGTAGTACTTGTCAGTGATCCTGGAATTTAGGACAGCGACCCAGGTTTCGAACCTAAAGGTTCATTTTCAAGCTGATACCAAGTTGAAAACGCATTCCAAACACACAATCCTCTTCATTACTGTGAAGAGTCGTTATAACACATGAGACACGAACAAGAAAACACTGAACATTAAACAAAAATTGGCCAATTATAATACTGGTACGGTAGCGTGCGTGGTGTAGCCAGCAAAAGATGAGTCATGACCTGATGACTTGGTATCAGCTTGAAAATGAACCTTTAAGTTTGAAACCTAGGTCACTGACCTAAATTCCAGGATCACTGACAAGTACTACATGTTTAACCTTTTTCTTTTAAAGTTTCAAGCTCAAGATTTCTTTAGAATTTTGTTCTAGCATTTCAATGCATTCTTGCATAAGAATCTAGGTAAGTTAAAAATAAGTACCGGTAGTTTACAGATTGACTATGACAGAGGTCTTAATGAGGTCTTGAATAAGACAAGATTTTAATCCTAGAAAATATATTGGATACGGCGGCCAATCCAAAAAAAGTGGAATTCATTTTTCAAGTTATGAGAAATTATTTAAAGTTCCCTATTAAAAGTTTTCTCTAAATCTAATAGTTTCTGATATACCATCACTGGTGGCTCAGTTAAGTTTTTACCCTATGTAGCCAAATAAATAAATTTGTTATTAAATTCAAACGTTTCTTGTTATTTATTTAAGAAGAATTTATATAATTCTGTAACAATGATCACCATTTCTTATTTGGATTCAATTCCCAGGTGCTCGAAGGACTCCCTATTTAGGGGCGTTGCTAGCAGGAGAGGTGGTCGAATCACCGCCTTTAACTGCCGCTGTACTTGAAGGCTGTAAAAATGTAAAGTGAATTAATATGAATTGCTTTTTTTCTTTTTTCAAGCAGATTTTTCTTTTTTTTCTTTTGTTTTGGTTAAATCGTGCTGCAATACATATG